CCTGGTGCATATTATACCGAACCGATCGGCTTTTCTTTCACTCTCCGTGTCAACGAAAACGTCATTAGAAAATAATTTGGATACTGCTGCTGTCATGTTTCCGTCGACTGCACCGTCATCGTGTAAGACGAAAGTATCGGGAGAAGTTTGAATATTTCAACATATTATAATATAGGTAGGTTCATCGGTAGATGGTCTCAATAATAAAACATATAGATCGACTATACAGCGTTACGACGCTCTACGTCGATAATATTGTACACGTTTCTAAAGGTAGGTACCAGCGTGTTTTACCTGTAGACGTGCAGCGTTCGACTGTGATACAATAAATAACAATATTGTGTGCTATCCGTGAGAAAATACTATAGAGATGTACCTCTGTATAGTATTGACATAATATATTGTCATTATTATAGTGTTTTTTCCCCCGATGGAAAACGACAAGCAATTAGCGCACAGGCGTCATGACATCGTTTCGTGAACACTCTCCTCCTCGCGCTCCGTTACGGGTCGTACATGATGCATAATATACAAACTACGACGAGGACGACGACGACGACGACCGCCGTACGAGCTTTTCTATTTTTGATGTTGCCTGCAGGGACGGCGGAAACGAGAAACGATGACCGTGTGACTACCAATTCCCTCCCGCTCGATCACTCTCACTCACTCCTCTCTCTCTCTCTCTCTCTCTCTCTCTCTCTCTCTCTCTCTCTGGCGCGCGCGCTCTATTTCTCTCTTTATCACTCTCTCTCTATCTCTTTATCTCTCTGTCACACACTTTATGTACACAATACTACACAAATTATTCCATTACCCCATCACCAACCACGTCGGCGGAAGGAACAGGGATTCAATAAGAACTCTATTTTATACCTATATAAATATATAATAGTGCGTACCTATAGGTGTGTATATTAAATAATACATATTTTTATAAAACAAATATTTACATTATTAAAATCTATAATTGATTGGCACCTTAATAAAAATGTACCTATGTACGAACAATACATAATATTTTGTATTGTCCACACAAACTTGTATTTTGTACGGCACTCAAATGTATGAAGGTACAACGAAACGTAAAATGTGTACCTCTCAGCCACCATTATACATTTATACTACATTACTACACCTACTCCACGATAGGGTTGACGGTTATTTCGGTATACCGGTAATTGCTCTAATACCGCTTGAACGGTCTACCGACATACCGTTCAATACCGAATTGATACCGTATGCTATATGGGTAATGGGTTGACATATTTTTAGCGATACCGTAATATAGGTATCCGATTTCAATACCATCAACCCTACTCCACGATTGATATGACTGCGCTTAAATTTTAATTTCCAAGGGCGCCACCAAAATCGTTATTGTTTTGGTATTTTAATAACTTTTAATAATATTATAATTTATTTGGACTGTTGTAAACAACGAATTACTACGCTATTGCCACTTATAATATCTTAATGTTTTTGTTTACCTTGTTATACTGTAGTATATTTTAGTAAACCTATTATTATTTCTCATTTTTGTTGGTCCTATTATCATGATTTCATTTCCACGCGGAGGTATCCGACAAAAATTAATAAATTGCTTCAAGGGGGTAAATCTATTTAGATGATTTTCGAAATATTTAAGTAGTAAAAAAAAATTAATCGGAAATTAAATATATTATTACAATAAAAAAAAAAAACCTTTGACACAGAAAATATTTGAAAATATTTTAACGAGCGAGAGAAGACCTCATTACCTGACCATAGTATCTGCCCATGAGCGACAAATAAACTAAGTCAATACAATCAATATTTTAATATTTATATTTGATAAAACTATAGCTATACCGGTGTGTATTGTATACTGTACACTGATTACGATACACATTATTTTAAAATATTTAAATTATTCAAAAAGTCTTTTAGATTTAAAAATGCAATATTTCATATCTTTTTTTTTGCATAAGGTAAAATATGTCAACGTTTTAAAATTTAAAGGCAAAATGTAATGAACCATAAGTGGGTACCGAAGAAGTGCTGAGCAAATTCATAGGTACCTACTTATGGTTTATTACATTTTTCCTTTAAATTTTAAAACGTTGCAAATACTGAGTGTTAACTGTTAAGTGTATATAGGTACACGTATAGTGTGTAAGTCATATTCAGGTAAAAATCGCTTACATAAATCTAACCAAGTTACATCACAAGCTACACAAGCCAACTAATTAATTATTCATTCATTCATTTTCAGTGTAAAATAACACTAGTGTGATTATTCATCTTGTAAATATACAAATATTAGGATTAGGAGGTAGTGAGGTACCTATGTAATTTAAATACCAGAGTTGTATTCCTACTCGGACCTATATAGTAGTAACTAGTATGTTAATATTTTAATAATTAAATGAATAACAATAATATTTCTTTTATTTAAAAATGTTATATGTTGTGATAACTATACTGGTAAGACAACAGTTCCAAATAATATTATAATTTATGATACATGTGATAAATGATTGTATACATGTATTATTTTGAAAAATTTGGAATTTGTCCTAGAATTACTAATAGTAAATAGACCACCCTGAATAAAGTACAAGTTTATGTTGAAGGAGATGGAATAAGATCGCTCCAGTCGACACAAAAATAAAAATGTATTCGAGGAAAATGTTGTCGTTAAATTAAAGAAACAATTTACAATATATAAATCAGAAAACTTTAGTTTTTACATCAATATGATTTATAATGAATTTAGTCCTTTGTTCCTTTATATATTTTGGTACTTTTAACGAATTTGAGAAAAGAATAAAATTATAAAGATAATTTTTACATTTTGATGAATGTTATTATACTTATAGATTACCTATGTAGTATTTATTTTTATGGAGAACTATTTGGATAAAACATCTGAAAAATTCTAACTTTTAGAACGTTTATTTTTATTTTATTTTAATGACAAGAAATAATAAAATAATACAATTTAATTAATTCCTAAGAACATTGTTTTCAAAGTAATGATTATTTTTTTATGAATATTTAAAAATAATCAAAATATTGAAATACCATGTATATATCTTAAACAGTGTATAATAAAAAAGAACAGCAAGATTTTATTTTTAAAGTTAAAAAATAATTTATAGAGAAATAAATATATTTAAAATTAAGGTTAAGAACAATGTTAGATTTACATTAACCAATAAAACATAACAATGTTACACATTGACATTTCAACAACTGCAAAAATGCGATTACATAACCTTGTTCAAAATCATATCTATGTAGCTTATTTAAAAATTTAAAATACATATGTATATTAATAATGGGTTTCAATAAACTTTAGTGATTTAAGATTTAAATATTTTGTGTTCCAAAAATATGTGCTCTACTGCTCTGGTATATTAATAAAACTCAAATATAATAATGTCAGTACATTTCATTTTGGACACGTTTTATGTAGGAATGACATTTACATGGAACGAAAAACAATAAAAAATACCTATTACTGGTGTTTGCATTCTTCAGCTTGATTCGAACCAAAAAATTAAAATAATAAAATTTGTGTTTTTATAATATGTGGGAACAAAAGTTAAAAAAATTTAAAACTTTCAAATTTACTCGAATTACGGAACTATAGAACTACCTGATTAGAATTGTTTAATACATTGTTCATCATATTATGTAAGACAGTAAGACGTAAGTTAAATGAATACTCCACACTAAAAAAACGAGGACTTCATTGTTGGTAGAATATCTAAATACCTTTTAACCTTTAAAGAAAATTTTTTTTATGCTGCAGAAGTGGAACTATTATTTAGTCTAAACAATTGACTGCAATTAAATACACAATACACTACCTACTAACTACCAATAACTAGAAACTATGGATACCTATATTAAAATACCGAAATTAATTTATGATTAAACGAAAAAACTTAATAATGAGCTCACAATTGTAATAAAGTATTGCATTATTATTATTTATAAAACAGAAGATAAATAAATGAAACTTAGTTTAAAGTGTAGGTATTTTTACTATAAAAACAAAAACAAAAAATGTGTTTGGATAATAAATTTAAATGTGCTAAAAGAATATACATGAATTAATCCATTTTATGACAATGAACCCTTGAAATTAGAATGTAATTTAAATGCAAATGGGAAAACATGATTTTACAAGACATATAGGTACCTTATACATCAACAGATAATTAATACAAACTTTATCATGTCATTTCTACGATTTTAATATAGGTTTATAATTTTTTCTAGTTATGAACTGTTTGATTTTAAGGTCAGGTTCAAATTTATAATTCGTTTAAAGTTAAATTAAATAAAAATAATTATTTATTTTTATAACTTAAAATCATATTAACCAAATAAAATATAGTCATGTGAAAGAAATGAAAACAATAAATTACGCAAAATTAATTTAAATTTCAGTTCAGTTCATTTTTAATTCGTAAAATGTAAAAAAAAGTTCTGGGTCTAGTTTTATTATTTTCAAAAGTCAGAATTCTTAACATCACTACAGTTTTTTCAAGTCTGTTTTTTAACAATACAATCTGTAAATATATTTTAACAACAAAAATATTGGAACTAATAATCTAAACAAAACTTTTTTTATACGACTTTATATAAATGTATAATGTATACATTTTTTTATGTATTTTTGTTATATTTTCTTTTGTTATTATTCATATTATAATAAAATATATTAAAATCGTGTAAAAAAGTCACTTTAGTGAACATATTATTATAATTTATGAATATCAAAAACTATACACGAATAACCCAATATATTATAATATATAATCTAGAACTGGTCATAAATATTTAATTTAAGCAATATATTATTATGTAAGTCCTGTAAATAATAAAAATATTATATTGATTATTTATTTATTTGTTCATTATAGGTATTATAAATAATAATAGTTGGTCAATAAAATTAATTATGTTTCGTGCTTCGTTAGTAGGTAAAATATAATTAAATTTACCTTTAATGGGTTTGTCAAAGGTCCTCCATACACTTGTTCTGAGCTTCCTTTCAATAATTGTGCTAATAGCTGAGGACTAGGTTCGGGCGTATTTTTCACTCTCGAACATCCTTCCAACTGACTTGGACTAGATGTTGTTCTTTGATGACAAACCACTGTTTCATTAATGCCGTGTTTCTTTACGGCCGTAACTGACAACGGTATACTTGCACTAGTTTTTCTTTTTGGCGATGTTCTGAGTCTTAATCGGTCCGATGGTTGGTCGGGCGAAGTGTAGCTTCTTTTCAGCTGACAATCGTCGGCCGATCGGATTTGCTTAGGATATTCATCTAGGAACTTCAAGGCATCTTGCTTTTTACCATTCACTTCCGGTTTTTTTTTTTCATTTACTATCATTTCCAAATACGGACCACGGAGAGGTCTTTTTGAGTAAGGCACGGGTGGACCAGAATTTTTTTCGGAATCAGAATTTTCATTGCATGGAGATGATGTACACTCTCTTGTCGGTGATAACGTTTGACTATGGTTACCCTGGTCACTTTCGCCTTCAGATAACGAGTCTGCTTTTGACAACAGATATTGACGGTAATTTACTTTTGGCGATGAACATATTTTGTCTTCGTCTTTTTCTTCAGAACTCTGCGCAGATAATTTAGGTCGTAGTAGGGGCAGTTCTGTGAGAGACGACCATTGAGGCATTTGTGGATATTCTGGACTCTGTGGTTCTTCTTTCGGTGAATCAACAGGTGTGCTAGTAGAACTGTCTTCGGGATTCTGAACAGTACCGTCGGTCTCAGATTTCCACTCCGATAAAAATGTTTCTTCAGTGACTTGATCGGGAGATTCTTCAACTGATATTTCTAACGACTCTTCAATTATCGCTACGTCTGATTGACTCAATTGATCTGACGACTTGAACAATTTATTTTTTCGTCTAGGGGGCGTAGGTACATCTATAGCATCGTGGTCTTGAGAATGAGCTCTTACAGGTTCAGACGAATGAGCTTTACGAGAAAGGGCAACAGGATTTGGTGTGCTCCTTTTCCGTCCATCGGACCTTATATATTTACCATCGGATGGTGAATAATACACTTGGGAAAATGATGCACTTCTAAACGGTATAGACCGCTGGTAATAGGAACCAACTATAGTTCTAGATTCGGGTTTTCGTATACCATCTTCAAACTTATCTAACGATTCCTCACCACTTAAATTCGCTGTCGATGTGGCTGTGCTACCCATCAGATTGTCATCCTTGGTATCTGACGTCTGTGCCTCACAAGCCGGTGGCTGCTTCAGCTTGTCTGTGAGCTTCCTCAGCCGGTCGGATTTATCAGTGGTTCTCGGTGTCACGTTTTGTTTCGTTTTTTTATTTTGAGCACCACCTCTACCGTTGCGACCGCCGAAACGAAACCTTTGGAACCGGTCCAGATTAGTAGCTTCTTGTTCTTGTAAAGGTAGATCTTTCGAGTCGTCACAAATTTTAGCGACTAACGGAACGCGATCGACAGTTAACTTCCCGAAACAACCGGACGATGGTTTTTGAACGCGGTTAGACCAATCCAATGAGCTACGGTATACTGGCGCCTGTATTCGGGGCAGACAAGTAGCGCCAGTAGTGTGTCTATTATTAGAGCCGGTCGGAAGAGGGATTCGGGATGTTACTCCGCAGCAGCACGACGATTCTTTAGCGTCAGTATCTAGTTGGAACTCACCATTAGATGGAGCCACGGTGACATCATTTTTGGTAGAAATTGGACCAAAACGCACTCGTACGGAACCAATACTAAAATATTGAGGTTGCCTGAAAAATGATCAATATAATTAATACATTTTCATTGATATATTTAAACATAGTATAGTATATGTAATGTGTATTCATTAACATTCGAATTAAATCTAAAAAGTGTAATATATCTTTCTGTTATAAAAATAGATATCCTTTGTACAATACATTTTTTTATTATAATATATTTGTTTTTTTAAATAATGTTTACATTTTATAATAAATATATATATAGTAATTTGTAATAATATATTTGTAATATTATATATTTATATTCTATTAAACATAAAATAATTACTATATTATTTTATATTAAATAGTTATGTTATATATTTTAATATTAAAGAAATTCGTACATTGTTTCGTAAAACTATTCAAAACTATAAATCACTTTTCAAAACTAATTTTTTTCTTTATTTTGTATAAAACCATATTACACTTAGAATAACAAATAAATAGTAATTTTTAAAACTATACGTAAACATTTTAATTTATTGAATAAAAACAAATGTACAGGCGTGACTAAAATTCTAAATCATTCAATTAACATTTAAAATTTGCTATTCGATTACTATCCATTTAAATACGCCAATAATTTATATATTTCCGAACTTAACGTATGGTATCCTTTAATTTATTATCGTTTAAAATGGACAAGCCTTCAGTCGATAAAACAAAATATATTACTTAGTACTTACTAATGTACTAGTATTTGCGTTAGAAATTATAAATGCAGACATACAGTATTAACAGATCAAGGACCAATACGATAATTTAAAGTGTCATAATATTGAGTATATTATTATGATAATTTCATAAGTATTTTTTTAATACAATGTATGATTAATTTAATTGAATTACCAAAGTAAATTATTACTCGATCTCCTGATCAAAACTAATAAATACATTTCAAAGCCGATAGATGCATAGCACTTTGTCTAATATGTATACTTATATTGAATAATAATGATGAAAATGAATATTATTTCTATATCTCTCACTATTATATACACAAATATAATGTTAAAAGTATAAGTAACATTAATAACACGAATGTATAGGTACTATTCAAATAAATCAACTAGAAAAATACCTTATAAATTCAAACATTTACTAATATTAGGCTAATTAATAATTATTAACATAAAAATACATCATATAACATAACTTTTTATCTGTAATAAACTAGACTAAATGCATGTTTTAGAAAATATTTTCTACTTGAATATAAAATATTTAAGTTTTAATATTTAAAAGTAGGTAAATTAAATACCTAAATAAAAACAATATTTACACAAAGAACATAATAGTAATACTATTATACGCATAAAAAACAAAAAAGATATAAAACGATCTAATCGAGCGAACAAAACAGACTTATTATATTATTTTTGAATGGTAGTGTCAAATAGTTCTGAAAATTAATGGTGTCATGGGTTTTACTTAAATACAAAATGTCAAGCAAAATGATTAACATTGTCATCACTGCGCGTATGGGAACTGATGACATATTAGTTTTGTAAAATGATTCAAAAGCAAAATTCTTATAATACTCGTTAAATTATCATAACTTTATGTATATGTAATATGTATGTAACCTGATATCAATAGAAAATATTTTGAGAAAAAACCCTTTTCGGTATTCCTACTATATGTCTGTTTATTTGAATAGTATACGATTATGTATTATATTGGTAGGTTAGTTTATGTATTAATACTGTCGACATCTACAAACCACCAAAACTATTATCAGTTCAATCAATAACCATAAATATAATATTCATACAGGTTGATAACGACTGCAACGGTCCCTCGAAAATCTAAATGTTGTCTAAAGTCTAAATGCTTCAAAATAATAGAAATTCGTAATGATGATACGGTAGGAAACTAGATTACACATTCTATCCGTGGGGCCCGGTGCGGCGAGGTAGTTGGCTTCAGTCACAAACGTGTTCTGAAGTCAAGCATCAACCGTTGTCTGTCACTAGTTCCCGGATGGGTGACCACTCGGGTTTTAGTGACAAATCCTCGCCACATATATACGTGTTCTAACCAACCATACCCTTCCACACATTTAAATACCTACAAAATAACCTTCAGGCTAATGAACATAGATGTTGAAGCCTTAACTCAATAAAAAAAAAAATAACAATAATAATAATAAATAATAATATAGAATACAACTATCAATATACCTACATATAAATAGAATAACTATTTGTTATGCTGCAGTTTTAAGTGAGACCGGCACAATAGCAATAAATAAATATTAATATAAAGATAATATTATGTCAAGTAAATCTAAATTTAAAAATATTGTCAGTTGTATCAATAGATGCTTTTCCAAACATTTTAATATTATTAAAAAAAAAGTGCAAAAAAACTACAATAAAATATAATGAAAACAAAATTAGAATAATATGTTGACCCAACATACAAGTCATTAAAATATTGGATAGAAAAATGGCAACTTTTCAAACTACAATAGATAAAATAAAAATAATACTCAAGCTTTAAACGAGTGAGTACTGAATATCTACTAATACTAAATTACTCAAATGCAAAAAAAAATTGGTAAATTTCAACTACTCGTAATGGCATATTACTGGACGGAAAAGCTATAACATTAATTGAAAGTAGCATATTATTATATTATTATCATATATTTTCTGAGTAAAATACTTATCAAAATGTGATTTAGTTATTAGGTAGGTAACTAAAATCTAATCCGTTCAGTATAAACAGTAGTTAAAAAGACACTTATTTCATTATTTACCCGTTTACATAATTAATTTAAGAATTTTAGTTCTTTATAACGAAGATAATAAATGAATAAATAAATAATAATTTTATACAAAATATTTTATTTTAATTCATTTTTTAGGGTTAACTTTATTGCGTACTAAAAAAGTTTTAAAAAAATGTGACATTTAACGTTATAAGCCATATTATAATCGATTAGAAATTGAATATATTTGGTACTTTATACATTATAATATAGACTATAGAACCATTTTTAATTGTATCAATATTTTTTCTCTTACCTACCAACTATTATTGAAAGTAAATGTCATTAAATGTTATTAAGCGCTATTAAATGCTATATTAATAAATATTTATAGCGAAAATATTTGTTTGGTTAAAAATTAAGTAGTTATTTAATTATTACATTATTATAATAAACTAAAAAAACTAGCTATAAGATAATATTCGTAAAATGTAATTCAAAAATAACTACCGACGATGTATTATATAAATAATTAAGTTGGTACTACAGTTAATATTTAAGTAATGAATAAACTTAATTAAAATCTAACAACAATAATAGTAGGTACAGTAAGAGTATTACAATTTTTTTTTAAAGATCTCTTGGTAAAATGTTACATTGAACGTCGATATTAATATTGTCTAATATAAGAATATAGGTGCAAAAAAAAATAATCCTTTAGTTATAGTTTTCCTGAACATATAATGTGTCAAAATAATATAAGGTATAAAATATAAATCCATAATTACTAAGTTTAATAATAATTACTAATAATTACTAAGTGTATTTCACATTATACAAGGCTTAGTCAAAATAAGAAAAATAGAATATTTTCAGGGCTTCAGTCTTGGTTCAATATTAAACTGATGTTAAGAATTTAACCTTCTAATACCAATTTATCGTCATTGATAAATAAATGAGTTTGAATAATTTCTTTACCGTTTTTTGACGAGTTTTGCAAGTTTGACAAGCTGCTGCACGTTATATGAAATGTGAAGAATGTTAAGATAGGTTTAGTTTTTCAAGTATAAAATAATATATATTTATAGATATAATCTGGTATATGAATAGAATATGCAAACATTGGTAATGGGTAGAGAAATTAAATCATAAGTCTTTAACAGTGTAAATAATTGAATACTAAGAAACTGTTATATTATATTATTGCACTCTTGCACAGAAAATTTAAAATAACAATATAATAATTAAACAATCCTACTAAACATTTTTGAAAACTTAATAGTGTTTAGTTCTTAATCTGAATGATACAAAAACATATACGTTGTAGAAGAAATTAGTTTGTACTCTGTTCGTGATAAAAAACAAAATTGTACATTATTAAATAATAAATACCTACCCACACTTAATATAATCAATACAATTTGTATACAGAGAGTCGTGTCATGATTATCCTCATATGAAGGCTTATTGCTTGCCCACTAACAACACTAGGTACCTCTAATCTATCAGGCACCTGTTATAAATACTATATATGGTACCTATATTATGCTCATCTTCTACGCCACTTGGGTATATGTAAAAACGTGTACAATTATTTTAAACATTTTAATAATTAATAGAAATTATATTCAACATTAAAAAATGTATATAATTTGACTACCTTACATTTTCATGAACATTTTAATTTTGGGTACACCTTTAAGTAAATACCATAATATAATAATTTTGACTCTCTGTTATACAGTTATAGTTTTCCAAAATATTCTTTAAAACCCGTTAACTACAAAAATAATTTACTGACGGAAAAGAACACGGTGTGATACAGTATAGTTATAATAGGTGCATTAATATATAATGGTCATAAGAATATTTCTAATAGCTGGTAGGTAATACCTACTAATAAAACATAAATTTTTGTTGTTTTAATAAAAATGTATTTTTGTAATTGACTGTGTAGGTAATATGTAGATATATTATTCAATATATGATTTCATAAAATATGTAAATAACGTAATAATTATAAACTATAATAAAATATATATGAATATCGATGTTGAAAAATTTTTAGTTTAGGTATGTTGTTATAATATGTTCACTTATATAGGTGCCTACCTACGGTATTCAACCATTGATAATCGAGTAGTTTGACTCAGAATTATTAATTATTAATGATTAATAATTTTAAGTTTGACGAATTGTAAACGCATGTAAGTACCTATGTAACTGTATACGCTGACACTAAAAAAACAAACGTGAGTGTACGTAGGTTTGTGACGCACGTGGAACCTCATGTTTTTCAGAAGAAAACAAACGACAAACTCGTTATCAATAATGCAAAATGGATCAAAATAGTAATAATAAAAAAAAAACGTCTCTATACGTTATCGATCACCGCTCGTGTCACACACTTTTTTAATCAGACGAACGAATCACAATGACGGTCTAAAAACTAAAAAGTGTATCCGAATATAACAATATTATATTGCCCACGAATTGAGATTAGGTACCTATTCTCAATTCGTGATAAGAATATTATAGTCGTATATAGGTAGATACGACCACTCTATGCCATTACGATGTATTTTCTCTGAGACTACTATAATATTATTGTTATTTGTTATCATGTTGTACAACTATTATAGCCGAGGACAGACACTCACCTGATCCATGTGGTAGGTCGGGCAACGACGGTGGCGGCGTGAGGTGCGCCGTAAGCGGCGGCCGTTCCGCCACCCCCGCCGCCGTAATCGGCGTTGTTGAGCAACGAAGTCTTGCTGTTGTGCGTCATGACGGTTTCGGCTGCGCGGGGTCCGGACGTCGTGTCACTCCGACAGTTATCGCGTACCGATTCGGTGGCGATGATGTATTAATATTGTGTATATTATTATAATGTGTGAAAACGTCAAGAGACAATCCAAGTAGGTAGATACTAGGACATAATAATTGTTGACGAGGTGCCCGTGTTTATATTATTATAGGGCGCTTTTGTAACGCGGTACGGGAGTTAGGTGTTCGGCACATTCTATTTTAATTTAACATTATATTGTGGTATGAAATGTAAAATAATATTGTCGCGGTCGCGAATTATACGGTGTCGTTCGGACCGCGGTTTCGGATCGTCGGCGGACGGACACTGATGTGGTGGGAAGGGGGGCCCGGAGGGATGAAAAATCGTACTGCCGACAAACCTCGGGAACGGTGGTTCACACTTGAAACTCGTGAATTTTTTTATGCGATTTACATTTTATGTTACATAATATACGATATACACGTTTGACGCAGGTTTTACCCTCGTGCACGCGTTCAGCGTCCGCCGTACCACCGACGACTCGGTGTCTCCGGCGACGCGATTTAATTTACACTCCGTATACACAACGGCTGCGGCTGATATGCCACTCGTTCGCTCGCGTCCCACCACAACCGTCGCCGCCGCCGCCGACACGACTTCGCTGTCCGTTGGTGATTTTATATTTAGAACGCGGTTTTCAAAACGCATCGGACCCCGCGGCCACCGCCGCTGGACCGACCGACGCCGCCTCCGCCACCGGCTGCATCGAGGAGCGGTGCATTCCTCGCGAAGGGCAAATTCCTCTGGAACAAAAAAATTTAAAAATTAAAACAAGAAATTGGAAGTAAATACAATTTAGAGCGTTCTTAAATTCCGAGGTTATGTGAAAAAGTTGTAAGAGGAAGAAGAGGAGGAGTTACGATTCTCGTATGCTAGCATTATCACTATATTATAAAAATTAATATATATTATGTATTTATCAAATTGTGTGGCAAAAATGAAGGAGATTCCTTCAGAACCAACCGTAATCCCCACCATTCTTGTCACACAATTTGGAAAACGCGTAAATACTGCACGTAATTTATATTAAGTTTTGATAGTCGCAAGAATAATATGCACAATTGATAGCCACAAATTTGGAAAACCCTGCAGGTATATATTTAATATATCAATCTATAATATTAAGTTATATTATGTAAATGCGCAATGTAAAATTAAAAACTATAGAACTCAACTCTCAAGTATCTTTTCAATAAAAAAATTCAGCTTAGTAACAAATGTTTAAGACAAGAATAAATAGTCAAAAAAAATTACCATCTAAAAGTAAATGTCATAAACTGGATTATATTCAAAAACATTAGCAAAATTAGTTTCATCTCAGATAACCTCTATTTTAATTTTATTAAAATAATAAGACATTAAAACTAATGTGTTGATAAGTAACATGAAGCATGGTAGTACTTTTTGTATTTTTTTATATTTTATGTACACAGACGCATAGTTTTTGTGATTCATATAATGGGTACGTTAAATGTATTATTTTAATTATAAAGCTTAATTTATACTATAAGAATGCTACGCTCCGTCCCAACAATAAACTTTAAAAGGTTATTAAAACTATAATATACCTTTTAATGTACAATGTATAAGACATATAGTGTAGGTGTATGTGTATCAGTACCGTAGGCAGTGATTTATTTTTTGAAGGTAGTGGGCCACTCATTTTATCATTATTTACTAATTTTTAAAATGATAAAACATACGTTTAAGTAAGACAAACACATTTATTTTTGAATATAAATAATATCTAAATGATTAATTTATAAGTGACAGTCAAATAAATAACTTAAAGTCTAAAATTATAATTAAATTGAATTAGTTATGATGAGGATAATAATAATAATCAAGTTGAACTTTAAAATCTAAATTCATTACTTTTTTAGCGGCATATTAATCAATAATTTTGTCAATATTTATTTCAATGTCCTAATGAATTATATTAAGTAGTGGCGTAGTGCCAAACCATTTGGTCGATTTTCACTAGTTAAATAGCATAAAAATGTTTTGAAACACTTCACATAAGAGAACTCGCTTTCTACTGAAAATGTTGTCACAGGAAAAATTAAGTACAATAGGTATAATAGGTATAATGTTTTAACATTAGGAAAGATATCTCTCGAGCAACATAATATCCAGTGGCCGGTGGGTTGACGCTATTTTTACCGTCTTCCATTTAATTTTCCCTAACTCAAATTCTCCTTTAAATATCGATGTATATTATGCAATTTGATTTAAAGCATTTATAAAAAATCATAAGACAGTTTAACACCATCAAAATAAATGTACTGCTGTATACTTAAGATGGTAACAATAAGGAAGACAGTAAAATTAAATAGTTCTATTTAAGCACTTCATTATAATAGAAGAAAGCAAATCCATCCTAAATATGAATAAAAAAATGGAAACCCTAGCTAACTGTACTACTAGTAAGTATAATAATCATTATTAATAATATTATAATTAGCACTGTATTTTTTCTTCTTTCAAAGATAACATCTGAAGCGAAAATGTTATCTATAATCATAACCGAATGATAATTGATCATAGTTGTACCTACCTGATAATGTATTATTACTTATTATAATGTTAATATTAGTTATAAATTATAATAATCTAATAACCAATAATTAAAAAAAAAATGCTTCTGAGTAGTGAGGGACACGTCAGCGTGGTGGAGTGGGAGTGAGTGCTTCGGCACCGGTGTATATATTTATATTTTATGTATAACTATTATATATTATTTATATCACTCATACTTTTCAAAAAGTTGTGGAATGTATCAATTTGTGATATTACGTAATATTCGGCTAGTAGAAAAAGCATTTCTAAGTAAATTTTGCGCTTCACTTATTATTGGTTGTATAAAAATTGAAAACCATTATATTTCTATAAAATGTAAATGTAAAAAAGCATGTTTTGATTTTTGTTATTAAATTCCAAAAATTACTAGCTAAACAAACAAGATTTAAATTTAATATTAATTAATCGAAATTAAAACAGAAAGTTATAGGTAATATAGTTTACTATAAGAACAATGCTTAAATATACAATCATGAAATGCAATTTTTAAATTGAATCGATAGATGAACCTATAGTTTTTTGTTATGGATTTCCATTAATTATTCTATACCTAAATAATATTTATTATTAACTACCTACTATAAAAATATAGGTACCTACACCCGAGGGCATTATTTAGAAGTTAAAATCATTATTTTAGATTCTGAATGGAGTAAAGACACATGGGTTCCAAAATATTGTTGAATCCATTTTTTTTTTGTCTAAGATTTTGAAGTTATAAGTTATAATTTTTTTTTTTTGTAACAACACAGAATGTAACCCAATGACATAATAATATAATAATAATGACATAACATTAAAATTATAGGGTTATTAATAATTTAAGAATAAGTAGGTAAGTACAGTGGAATAAATTGAAATAAATAAAAATAAAAATATAAAGCTCAAAAAATGCATTAAAATTTAAAACAAAATACTTATTTTTCAACATGATTATTATCTTTAATTTTTAAAAGCTACTTTAATAAGTGTTATAATATCATAATAATTATTTATTATAGACGAGTAATAATTAAATTAATTGTTTCGTTGTGCCAAATGCCGTAACCATCTAAAGCAACACACCACCTGATGGGTCTCAAATGTAGGTACCTATTTACTGAGGCCTCCAGGCTCCGATTTTATCATATACGTGTTTTTTAAATATAATATTTGCTTAAAACATATAAGAATATTTTCGATTTCCACAAATTGTGTATTTTAACAAGGGCATATATCAATTGCGCCGGAAATCGCAGGCAAAGAGAGAAAAATAATGGGATAGGAAAAAGGTATACATCAACTGGCATTTATTGATATTTGGTATACATTGGTATATTTCTATTTTCTAGACCTTTTTAAGGAATTTGAGAAAGTAGCAATCATGCGACTATTTTATCAAGTTTTTATTTGGATTTTACTAACGACAAATAAATATTTTACACCAAATTATGTGTAACTATAATATAGTCAATACTCAATAGGTACATCGTAATAATAACAGTCGAAGAGGCGTCTTAAATCCCAATACGAAGAACTCGTGAATAATATATTAAGCTGAGTGGTGTTTGATGGGTTTGATGTTACGCACCAGTGCACCTCCCTCGACAAATTCTAGGGAAACGGGTAATGTGGACTGGAAATAGAGAGGCTCGCAAATACGAGTAAGTTGTGGAAATTTAAAAACGTGATTCCTGACTGAACATAACCAGAAAACTTGTGGAGTAGGTAATATTACTTATTAGTGTAATTACTTACTGAAGTAAACGATTCTGCATTAAACGATTGTCCGTTTTGGTTAATTATTTTATGTCCATTTGACACTGTGTTACTATACTGGATTTAGATCAAATATAAAAATAGAAATTTTAAATTCCTTGTTAAATTAAAAAAAATCTTTGAATACATTTTTTAAATTATTTTCTGAAATTATTGTAGGAAAGACACCATGTCACACGTACCCAAGTTTTTTTAGTGGGTTTTGAGCAGAAAAGCTGTAGTAAAAAGCGGGAGGTCATGGAGAAGATGACATACATCCGGAACTTCCTCGGGAATATCCGAATATTCCGAAATCCGAATACAATGAAAACTGACGAAAATTACAAACAAATTTTTTTTTAATTATCAACGTCTTTGTATATGAATGATTTCAAGTAAAGTAACATTTAAAATGAAACTGTTTGAATAATTTTTCACGACTTATGTCAAGAACAATGAGTGGGTTTTGTATCAAGACGATTGTCACAATTTTTTGTACATAAAATAATGTTTTGTTGATATTCGTAACTCAGGATTCAACACATTTTGTGACTTTTTAGTTTTTATCTATTGTCAAAAATGAAAACGGTGTTGAAGGTATCTAATTTTGAGTCCATCGAAAAAGGTGAAAATTAAAGCAACAGATCAGCTTAAAACCTTGAAATCTGATGATTAGAAGCACTGTAGATTAAAAAAAAAAACACACGAATGTTTATATAGAAGGCCTGGAGTGCATAGAAGATAGAAGTGGATCTCAATTGAATTAAATATATAAAAATAATATGTAAAATTATTAAAATTCTTCCTTTTATTTGAGTTAATTTTAAAATTAACAAAATGAATTATGCCTATTACAAAAATCTTGTTCTTAAATAACCAAATTTCTTATAAAGATACGTAGGTATAGAATTCCATAAACTCGTTAGTCATTTCGCAGAAATGTCTTCGCACTGTACAACACTTTACGCACTTTCCAACGGTGAAGTGAAATCGAGTTGATCGAGAACATTTTTTTTTTTACCAATGCTTCTCAAATAAAAAGAATCGTTAACAAGACTTTTTAAAACGAAACTGCATACAATAATATTATAATATTTTTCCATTCGTCAGTCTTAAAAGAAATATTGAGAATCAAACGTGGAAAAAAATGGTCGGTGACCACCACCGTTTTGCCATCAATCGACGAAGAATATCGCAATTACCTGATGGCGAGTAACGTTAACAATATTGGCAATGGTAAAATTTGTTGATCAAGGTATATATTTACTCTCACACTGGTAACTGTAAACTGTGGTAATTTCCGTAGTCAGTAAATTAAACCGGGTTCACAGCCTGCTATGTCGTCAGTGGCGGTTCTAGCATATGGGCAGGGTGGGCAGCTGCCCGTACCAAAATGTCTGGTGCCACCCTTATTGGGGAAGGGGGAGGAAATGAGGGATATTATTCGCAGTTAAAACCTAATTACAAAACTACTGTTGCCCATAAGAAAATGTAGTCCTAGAACCTATGTATGTCGTCTGTCCTCTGTCGTATCGTATCCAAAAGTTGAGATTGGCCTAATCTGTGGAAATTTCTCGGTAGGTTGTGGTTAGTGGATGATACCATGATTACAACAACAATAGGAATACGATAAAAGGAACAATATACAACGGACGGTGTAACTGTGAACATGCAGTGTAAACCTGGCTTGAAAATCTGTCTGAAAAAACTAAGACTACATATAATGGGTATACTATGCCACCATGTTGCGACTCATTTATTAATGATAAAATGATAAAATAAAGGGAGAAAAATTCATATTCACATAACATTATTAGTCGCAAAATGACGGCGTAGAATACCTAGTATCCATTCCATAGTGCCCTAAAAAACGTGTGGTCGTGGCGAAAGCCTCCCCTCAACTTATTTATTCTATAATCAATATAATAAAGATGTATTCGGAGCTTTAAAATACATCAATTGAAAATTTAATGGAAGCACTGTTTATCTGAAATGTGTTTTCTTAAGGATAAATTTATGTATAAAACTAAGTAGGATTAAACAATTTTCAAAGGTAAATACAATAATATTTTTTTAATTATATATTACGTACATTATGCTATTTAGAATCAAAATTTTATTTATGCATAACAATTTTATTTTTTGTATTACAGTGTGGCTGTTAACATTTAGAATAGTTTCTCATCTACGTTTTGACGTTTAAATCACTTTCATAGTTTTTTTTTTTTTGAAATTCAATACTGTTGGCTACAATGCGATATGCCAACTAGTATTTAGTATTTAAAATCACATTAGTAGAAAGCAGAGCCTCGTACAGTTTCCTTGTGGGTTTCGTATTACATGACATTTTTGAGTAGGTACTAGGTAGTATAAGTACCTATAATACGAATTACAACGATGCCTGAGGTATAAAACAATATATATTTATATACACTAAATTATTATTCATTAATCACAAGATTTTGTGCACTTTATTATTTAAAAACGGCTTAGTGTCTAATAAGAAAAATAATAACTAAATAAATAATTTCAAATAAATATTTAATGTAATACAGGTAATAATCAATGTTTTGTTGGAACCTGTAAAATAAAAATAATAAATATTAAATTGGTTAGGTGAAATTGTATACGGTCTGTAGTGAAACGCGTAGGAGGGTTAATGAAAGACCTACCAGTGTTGTATAAATGATAAATACGCTAAATTCTATTAATTAAAGAGAACACCGCGGTTAATAATATTAGTATATATTTAGCACATTACTATTAGGTATAGTATTATGAAATAATATGATCATATACAGATAACTTGTTTGTTGAATGTTTTGTTTCTTGAAAAAGTGCCAATATAACGAACGGATACATTTAACAGCAAATCGCACTTAACAAACAATAAAAATATTAAATAATATTCATTAATCGCCTCACAAGATACTATTTTTGAACTAGAAAAAACAATGTTGGTTTTTGACTTTTGTGAATGAAAACAGATAACATTATTAGCTCCGATCAATAATTTAAGTTAGGTTTTATCTAAATTGTATCTGAATTATAACCATCTTTAACATACTTAACATCGAACTTAGGGATCCAACTTATTATATTAATAAAACCAAAGTATATTAATCAACGAAATAAAGAACCTGTTGATGATTTAGGTAAGTGAAATACTGAAATATTCATTAATTACCTCGATTTATTTATGAATGTATATCAGTATCAAATAAGAATTGATGTCGAATATCAAAAATAAACTAAAATAAGACATAGAAACCATTTTAAAAATCAACAAAATAAATAATAAATATTAGATGCTTTATTCTTATTATTATTTTTAAATCTTGCATTGTTATTGTTTAATAAATTTGAAGAGTTATATACTTGAAAAAAATATTAAAACGTCCTTCTAAGTATGAATATTTATGTGGTTCGTGCAAATGATTTAGCAACCTATATGAAAATAAATACCGAGAGCCAAATTTTGAATTTAAAAAAATCAAGTACAGAAGATGACAATTTGTTAATTGGTAGGTACCTACGGCTTACCTTTATATTATTACTATGAAATTTAATTTACAATATTAAATAAAATTTACTATTTTCAAATAATAGTAATGACCTAAATTTACTAAAATCAAAATACAATTAGTGATAAATTAGTAGCAAATAAAACTGACTAACTAGAGAGTGATATTTATTTCAGATAATGAGAATGTAACAAAATTATGCTTTGATGAAAGATTAAGCGTAGTAAATGAAAAAAATGAAGTATTAGGTGAATTTGTTGGTCAAGTACAGAAAAGTAATTCAAATACTAATTCTGAATCTTTAATAATAAATTTAAACTCAACTAGTATTTCCAAGAATGGAAAAGAAATTGGTATGAGTGTAATAACATTCACCACAACAAATTTACTATCTTATGAAGAAAAATGGTCACAAACGTATTACATGACTACATTGAACTAAATAAATTATAATTCTAAATAATTAGTGAAAATATTTAACAACTATAGGTACCCTAAGGAATCGGCAATGGAATGTAAAACAGTTTTAGTTTCAAATAAAAACAATGATGGAAGGGTACAAATCTGCACGGATATAAACAACGGTGAATTAATTGATCAAGCCAAAAACATAAATTTAAAATACATAAAAGTAAGATTACAAATAATTAATAACTAACTTTTACTTCATGGATGTATTTATTACTATACTTATTATTTATTAATTACCTAACATTTAACTTAATATATAAGTAATATGTGTTTACTTTATCCGAGCTTAAAATTAATTTTCTTTACATATTTATATATATATATATAAATATATCGTTGTGAGAGAATGTTAATTAAAATAAACTCTTACAGATTCACTATGATAATATGAAATATACTCCCCCTTTAGGTATAACGATATTACATATTTTTTTTAATTTTAGTATTTAATTTCTAAAATCGTTTTTGTATAAGTCACGGAAATTTTTAACTACCTAACATTAATTTTGTTCGAGTGTTCGAGTAACTACTAATTTATTCTGGCATGTAGGGAGGGATAATTATTCAAAGCGTAGTGAGGTTAAAGTCCCTTATTACATCCACCATTAGTCACAATCCAAAGTTTGAATACTTTTACACTGTAAATTCTATAGGTAAGTATGCAAAACTAATTGATACATATTACCTATATTGGTATTATTATTTATTCGATTATTTATATAGATATATTATTTTTATAAACCACATATTTATCAATACATATGCATTTTATTTTTTAAAACATAAGAATGATTGATAGATCTTCAATAATTTTTTTTATTAAAATTTGTATTAAAATAAATAATAAATAATACAAATCTATAACTTAACTTACCTTGTATAAACAGTTAAAATTAAAATATGGGTAACTACTACAAATAAATCTCATTTTGTTTTTCCCTGGGAGTAGTGTTATAATGTTCTATATTGAAACAGGATTCGTGTAATTTATTAGATATTTATATTAGATTTTGTTGCAATAACTACTGCAGGACAAAAATATAACTTATGTAATAATTAGGTAGGTTAGTAAAGTATAGTTAGTATAGATATTACATTTTAACATGACAATTGTTTCGTTTTTTCTTAATCTTAAAATAATTACCTACCAAATTTATTTTCTTATTGTTTTAAGTTTGGAATAAATATTAAATTTTTTCAAATATTTTTTTGATGCACTAAAAAGTATAATTGCAGGGTTTGCTAACAGAGGGTATGAACTACGCTTTCCTCCGAAATCTTGCAATAATAGGATTTGAGGGTACCATTAAGAATAAAACAGCCATCACCATCAACGGAACATTGTGTAAAACAATATATGTACGTAGACAGTAGACACTTATAAAATCGTAATAAATATAAATTATATTCACTAATTTATCCCCTTTTTATTATAGGTATGTTCATTAAAGGACAATTACAAAATTAATAACATGTCAGTATCAGTCATAATTATAAAGAGGGCTATACAATTAGGAAAATCTTTTAAAATTCCAATTAGAGAAACAATAACTGTTTTAACCCGTTTGGGTTATATATTAAATCATTCATGGGGTAAAACAATTAATCAGAAATTGATCATCAATAAGTCAATGCGAATCACCAAAGGTGGTTTTGTTTATAACGACAATATGACACATCTAAAGAATAATTTGGATCAAGATATTCGATTCAAATTAATGTATCTAAATGAATATGTAAGAATAAACCAATTCTCTGAAATATGATTTAATTTAATTTGTTAATTACATTTTCAGCCTGAAATGAAAATAAAGTACAACACTTACATAAAAAACAACAGAGATGTGTATGACATGATCATCGACTATATAAAAGCTGTATTAATAGCCAAGCCAGATAATGTGTTACAGTTTTCAATCGATTACTTTGAAGAGTTCTAAAGAATTTTAATACCTACCTAGTTAATTGTGTGCATTTATATGAAATTATGACTTTTTAAATAATCGAAACCGTGCGACAATAATACCCATTGGCCATTATTACTCGCATATAATAATATTATAGGCATTATTACTTTTAATTGTACATACATAATTAAATATCAATACTTAAGTCCATAAATTATTTCTTATTCATAATAATTAACCTAGTCCTAAAACTCTTCTGATTGGGAAAATTATTGATACACATTAATAATCGATGACTGTTTCAGTAGGTAGGTACTTATCTAATCACTTTTCAAACACTAGCCGGTCGTAAAACTAATTATAAATTCTCCAAAAGTTTTACCTTGGCTTAATTAATTGAAAAATGGATGCTGATAGAAATTATTCCTAATTGTAATTTTGGCATATTTACAGTAAAAAATTCCTAATTTCCTAAAAACAATCGTATATTCAATACATTTTTTTTATTTTCAACCTGAAAATGGCTTAAAATTGTTGTGTATGTACATATTCTATTGCCAAATACTAATTTAATATTAACCAAAAAAATATAAGTACGTAATATTTAACAGCAATTTTACGTTTTCAATTTACTAAATAACATTTAGGCTTTAGTACCAACCAAGTCCAATTTCTAAACTACGAGTATAAAGGGCTTTACAGCCACTGACCTAAAAACTTAATGTCAAACTTAAATTTCGCCCAATACATTCAGGTAAAATGTCTACGCATAGCACATTACACCCAGCAGAGACTAATACGTATTAATTACTAGTAAAGTTGATCCCAAGCACTTCGTTGCCCGTAGAAAATGACGACTATTAAAAAAATGGTGATTGTTCATTCCAAGGTTCAACCCCTCTTTGATGTAACTCACTGCAGTAAGTGCACTCAGCAACCTTGGTAGGCAATTTATGAAAATTCGACAGTCCTGTAAAGTATTTGAGTAAAAGTATTCAAATACTTTTTTAAGTATTGAATAACTTTTTAAATACTTTCAGCATGAAGTATTTTGAATGGTATTTTAAATACTTTTTTTTGTATTAAATACTTTTTGGTATTGAATACTTTGGTTTTTATTTCGAACATTTTATTTTTATTCGAAATAATTTTAGAAATTTTAGAATAAATTAAGAACACAAAATAGGTAGTATCACCAATGGGTGGTTTCTTCCCTCAAAAAAAATCATACGCAAATACCCTATGCACATTTACTTATTGTTCTAGTTAAGAACAGATTGTAAATTTCATGTAAAAATAAAAAAAAAATGTAATAAACATTTATTTAATAAATAATAAATAAAAATGATTATAAATTTACTACCTATGTGTCTATATTACAATAATTAGAAACCCACTTTAAAAACCAAAAGTATTTGAAAAGTATTCCAAATACTTTTTCAAAGTATTTGAGTAGTATTTAAAATACTATACAATTAAAGTATTTGAGTAGTATCTTAAATACTTAAAAAAAAATGTATTTGAGTACTTACTCAAGTACTTTTCAAAAGTATTCTTTACAGGACTGAAATTCGATTATAGGTATGCAGTATGCTAGCTTGTACTGATCTGCCCGATTAACCAATGGAAAACAATAAACTTATAAACAAAAAAAATAATACTAATTTCTAATATTACGGGTACCTACCTAATATTACTATTAGGTATAATCTATAACCATTGGTAACCATTTATAAATAAATAAAAAATTTCAATTTCCATCGTGAATCTCATATTTATTGTTTGAGCACGCCTAATTTACCTTTTTCCTCGCCTTTTTCGCGACAAAATGTAGCCTATTTTCTTCCTCGAGGTCTAATCTACGTCTGTATATCAAATTTCATCATATGATCTGATTAAACGGTTTAGGAATGCAAATAAAGGACAGACTTATAAACGTCATTCATTTTGATATACATATGTATAAGCTAAGTTACATATTATTTGTATAATAGCCATTTAGTCATTACCCAGAGAAGACCATGAAGAGGCGACTACGCTGTCCTCCAAAAATTATTTTTTTGTTTAACAAAAAATTAATTTAATAAATGGTAAATATGTTTATTAGTTAAATAACGATTGATGCGATAAACGTTCTGTTTTACACTAAATAAATGTAGGTACAACAGTGTTTAAAATTTATATCGACGAATTTATGGTCGCTTATAGATAGTATTTTAGTATTTTACAATTTTTTATACACATTATAGTAAATAATTAACCTTTAATTTTCTATACCTATTTAACAAATTTAAAAATGCCGCGCGCAGTTTACTACTGGTACTATTTTTATGACCTGTTCACCGTCGCCTAACTTTATTCCAAAACTAATTAACATTTCATACAAAAACAATTAACTATTATGCTTCTAGTGCTTCTCTTATTTTGAACAAAAGTACGAATGATAAATAAAAAAATGAGTTATTATTTATAGTATGAATCGCCATGTTTTCCTGTAATAGTTTAATGGGAAAATGGGAAACGCTACGATGGTTCACGCCCATTTATATATTATAGTGTAAGGTGTAACCACTCAAATTAATAGTTTCAATTAATCAATATTTATTTCAAATATGGTTTTATCGATTCGTTATTTATTTTATTGATAGGTAATAGTTGAAAATAAATTAATTTGATATTAACTATTATTGATACTTAACCTCGATGCTAATAGGAAACCTACAATACCTTCAAAAAATAAAATAAAATGCAACAGAGGCAGGTGGAGGCAGCTATACACTGGGGCCTCGGCCAGAGCACAAGGAACCGAGTACCTACCTTGTTTTGCCCCACCTGTATATTTTGTAATATTTATTTTTTAATGTTTATTTGTGTATATGCATTGGCGCAAAGAGGGGGGCTTGGGGAACTTAGTCCCCCCAAATATCGACCAAGTAACCCCAGTTCAAAATCTAGTAATTAGTACTAATTTTTCGTAATTTTTATATTCTGTGGTACTAAGCAATGTATGGGCTATGGGGAAGGGGGCTTGAGTCCCCCCAGAAAATTTAGTCAATTTGCGCCTATGTGTAGGTGTATGTATTTTATAATTTAATATAAATCTAATTGTATATAATACGATTTAGGTATTATTACATCTTTTTTTAAACTTTTATTGACCATAAAATATATTTTGTATTATGCATAGGTAGTATTATTTTTATTTATTGGTAATATAAAATATTAAAAAACAGAATATTAAGTACTACGTATATATTTGCATTTGTATTGACTATTGTTTATCCTTTTTACTATTTATTTAAATATTTACTTGTGGTATTAGCCATTAGGTAGTTTTGTATGATTTAATATTAAATAAAAATATATTTTTGGATAGCAAGAAAATATTTAACTTTTTATAAATTTATAAATTAAAGTATAAATTACATCAAATTTTAGTGGGTCAAAGTTTTGAAGTGTTACTACAAAAATAATGTTTTCAATATTCAAGTACCTATTTATTAAAGCCCCCTTCCACCTTAAAATCTTGGCTATGCCATGGTCTAATACAGTTACTACCATTATTACAGTTACCCACACAGCATTTTAATATTTCCCAACTATGGTAAAAATATTTTCAGGAAAACAATATAGTTGTACGTGATGTATGTGAACGTATAATACATATTAAGTATTACATTAATTGTAAGTGGCATAAGTGGTAACCCTAAATCGATAAATTCCCACCCAAATTTGCAAGTGTACGTTCGTTTTTACAGCATTATCTGTACCGAAGATCTTGCAACACTTTCAAATCGATTGTTTCGGAGCATACTATTATTACGTAGATAGTAGATACCTATAAATAAAGGGGACAAAAGAAATATCCACTAAAAACGAATTCGGTGTTATGCTGCGGTAAACGGTTCTCCGAGGATAATTATTAATTATAATATCGGCAAAAAAGCTAAAGACCCGACCAAAAGAAACCGTGTAAACATTTAGGTATACCTATAGCAGTATAGACTATAGGTATCTACCACATAATAATATTATTACTAACGCGCGTGCCGTCGCGATGGAAACAGACGCGCGCAGACGCGAAACGGGAGATAATGAACCAAACCGACGAAAACGATTCGGTAAAAAAACAAACAAACCTGCGCTATAACAGTATCTTGGCCGCGTTGTACCTACAAGGCGCGTCGTCGTCGTCGGTCCCAGATGAGAGACGAATCGTCGAAAAATCGGATCCGGCACGAGTCGCGTACGACACGCCAATAGTATAAAATTGTTTTACATGGCACGTATATCGATATTACGAATCGAACAATACCCACGTCGTAATATTATAACAACAATATTACTAACAGTACGTCATGTTGTTGAGATGAAAATAATATGAAAAAAACCGGACGAGACGCGAGAAATAGTTTAACGATCAACTTGCATACGACGAACGGGAGAAGAATTTTTTTCGGATTTTTCTTTTTGAAAAATTGCTACTGACCCGGCGGTGTGTATACACGGACGCGCGCGAACCGGCGCACTCGTCTAAGACGCGACTGCCGCGCCGTGTACGTGTACGCGTGTGCCCACAGAAGAGCGAGCGAGAGAGCTTCAGACGTCCACGTAGGACGGAGAGGAAAACACAAACTCCCGATGTTGGTGTACGCACGCACGCACTGACGCCACTCGCTGTCCGGGGCCAAAGACGTCGTCGTCGGTCGTGTTGTTCTTGCCTCCACCGGTTATGATGCGACGTCGCCGCCGCCGTATACCACCGCCGACACCGCGGACCCGTTTTTTTCAGACGTTCTCAAACGTAGTTGTATAGTATTATAATAATATAATATATAGGTACAGTATACATTTATAATGCCCGAGTGCCGGACGGCATTGTCGTGTGTGTACACATGTTTTATAATAATATCGTAGGTACGACGTGTCCGCGGAGGCGGGTCGGGTTCATACCGCACCGCGCGGTAGTTGGTTGGTAAGAAGACGATAGATATAAAAATATCTCCGAATGGAGTAGCTACGAGCAACCTATT